GCAACCATATTGTACACTTCTTTTTTTGTAACTGGATCCTCTCCATGGTCCTTAGTGCACTACATATGTGATTTTGATGTGTGCCAGGTGGGTTTGTTGAGATTGCCAATGCAGTGACTGAGAGAAGGGTACATGATGAAAGTGATGGAGATAGGGAAGAATGAGTGAAGGCTCACAGGAAAACCAGAACATCTCTCCAGAATTTAGATAATAAGGATCTAAACTGTGCCAGTAGACTTGGGGAGGTTAAAGTAACCTTGATTTGGTTGGAGAAAAAAAGTGCACCAAATCGCCCAGTTCCTGGCTAAGGCAGATAAGTCAGTGGCCAAGCCTTTCCCATACTAGTGCAGAGAGGGATTATTCATATCAAGGTCTAAAAGCAGGGGAGAGGTGGGGAGGTAGGGCTTCAGCCCTCCCCAGACAATCCTCAGGAGTGCCTGAAGCCATCCGGAGGAAAGTTAGAAAGACTTCTGAGAAAGCCAGAATCTGGAGGAAGCCAAGTGGAGGGGGGAGTAGAATTGCTGGTGGTACTGGGGATATCTTGGTGTTAAGGTGAAGGCTGAGCTTCACTCCAACTCCATACCTCAGCCCATCCTCTTCCACCTCAGCTTTTCAAGCATCTAGTAACCTTGCTGCAGATGAGGCTTTGTGTTGGATGCTAGGGACACATGAAGAGACAAGGTCTCTGACCCAAAGCTAGAGGAGGCAAGTATGCACCCCATGAGCAACCAAATGAACACAGTGCATCTGGATGTGGCCAAAGTTGATCTGTATTAGGCTCATACTAAGCACCAGGCACACTTGATGTGATTGTCCCATTTGTCCTCCTTACCATCTTTTGAGGCAGGTACTATTATCATTATTCTCATTTGACAGATGAGGAAACTGAGATGCAGACAGGTTAAATCACTTGCTGAGGATCACAGTGCTGATCAGTGGTATTACCACAGGCAGCATGCTGCAGAGATGCTGCTCTGAATCCTTCCCACCCTAAGCATCCACAGATGCACCCCCATTTATAGTCTCTGCAGACTGAGTGCTGAGAATGTAACAGTCAACACAGGTGGGTGTGGATAATCCCAGAAGACCTCAGAGTAGAGATGTCATCTGAGCTATGTGGGAAGAATGAATACAGTGCACAGAGGCTGACAGTGGGAGGAAAGGCATTCTGGGCTGAGAGGGAACTATTAGACTGGTGATACTGGAGTCAGACACTTATGTAGGGGGGCTGGGAGGAGGGCAGAAGCCATAGACCCCTTCTTCATACACTGAAAGCTGTGCAAAGTCTCCTGTGAATATCGTGGTTAAGATCAGGATGGGGACATGGTGGTGGTCTAGGAGACCCAGAAAGTAAATTCCTAAAGATCCCCAAACAGTTTCCCCTATCAACTATGACCCAGGCTCCCTCCCCCTGAACTGAGGGTGCTTCTAAAACATACACAGTCTTTTGGCCCAAAAAAAGCCCTATTCTCATTCTCAGGTAATGTTGCTTTCTTTTCCTGTGGTAGCTTACTCCACAGGCTAGGGCAGTGATGGCGAACCTATGACACGCGTGTCAGAGGTGACACGCGAACTCATTTTTTTTGGTTGATTTTTCTTTGTTAAATGGCATTTAAATATATAAAATAAATATCAAAAATATAAATCTTTGTTTTACTATGGTTGCAAATATCAAAAAATTTCTATATGTGACACGGCACCAGAGTTAAGTTAGGGTTTTTCAAAATGCTGACACGCCAAGCTCAAAAGGTTCGCCATCACTGGGCTAGGGGCTGTGGTCCTTTTGTTTTCAATGGGGGAAGGGTGCCAAGGGTCTGTCCTGGGCAAGGAGGGAGCTCCTGCAGCCATGGAAGGAGCAAGCAAGGCAGGGGAGGGCTTAGAACTGGAGGCGGAGATGGAGAGGAAAGCACCTTTGAGAATGGTGGGAGGGTCGGGAAGGGGGCGCTTACCCCCACCAAGGCTGCTTTCTGCTAGTCCTGGGAGCTGCACTGGAACACACCCTGGGGCGGTGGAGGTCCTCCCCTGCTCTTTTCCTTGTCACTCTGCAGCAGGACAGGTTGCTGTTTCTCTGCCTGGAAACTGCCCCAAAGCACGAAATTGGGAGGGTGCGCCAACTCCAGTTCTTGGCTGGGTTCCAGTGGTTCAGAGAACAAAAAGAGCCCTGAAAACTCAGCAGGGCGCACCTGCCCCTCCTAGGAAGCTTTGGCAAAGGAGATCCTGAGCTCCCTTAGAACTGTCCTGCCCTCTTTTAGCAGTCCACCTCGTTGCCTGTTCTGCCTCGACTGTGTCATCCCTCTGCTACCAGCGTCTTGTCCTGAACCTCCTCCCATAGTGCTGCCTTCTGAGTACCCCCACTCCTCCACCCACCCAGCACCCCCTTTGCAGGCCCAGGAGACTCCCTCCTCTCCCCCTCCTACACCTGAAGAGTTTCCCAAGCCCATTTCCTCCTTTATTTCACAGCACTCCCTGGACAGGATTCTCCCCATTTCCCAGATTTGACAGGAGAGAAGCCTGCTGTGCCAGGGCAGGGTGGGGGAGAGTTTAAGTGAAGAAGCCAAGGTCACCCAGTCATTGGTGGAACGCAGCCTAGACTCAGCCTTTCTTCTGCGGGCCCATTTGAGTCCTGGCCAGGCGGACCCAGGCTGCTGTCCCAGGCCCCTCTTCCCTAGGCTGGTATTCTGGGGCGGGCTGGCCAGAATGACAGGTGAGCCAGGGTAGGGAACAGTTGGGGGAGTTGGTCTTCTCGGGGACACCTGGGGCGCGGGCCTTGGGCGCGGTCGTCTGAGCCCCTTGCGGCGCCAGGGTTTCCGGAGGGTCAGCGCCCCCGGAGCGGGATGGGGTCCGCACTTTTG